ACGTGTACGTAGTCGTTTGGCGGGGTGGGGGGGGGAGTTTTGTCAGAAGCTTCATATGCTATTTTGATTTCATGGTGAAGAAAGCTGTGATATAAATCAATAATAACGACAATATGTGTTACTGACATCAGAATTTTGGATTTTCTGATCTTGAAATAAAGGATTATATTAATATTACTAAATAACTTGGTGTAGGATTCTAAATATTTTATAAGAATAATGAAATCTTACCCATCTGAACGTGTAATTCAATGCCAACCCAAGTACCAGTTGAAAAATCCACAGGCCCAATGTATCTTACTATGCCAGTCTTATTAGCATCAACATATACTTGCTCTCCTACTGCCAACCAGTTAGGATGTCCTTCAGTAGTAGTGCCTTCAGAACTTGGGACATCTAAATGATTTTTTCCATTGAAATCACCTGCTGGGAGAGAATGTGCATACTGCTGGCAACAGGAAGCCTCTTTTTCTCTGGCATTCAACAAAGGATTTTCAATACTGTTTGACAGGTGGTATCCCACTGATCTGGATTCCAGACAGCTCAAAGCACTATCTTGGTCATGAACATTTTTTGAGAAAGGTATGGCAGAGTTCATTCCAGCTGTTAAGAACTTTTTTCTTCTGTTAGAAGTTTTACTTGCTGAACATTCAAATTCTTTTGCATCGTCAACACCCATGAATTCTGTAAAAGCATGATCCTCAAAAACATTTGAAATGTGCTCAACTGTTGCTTCTCGAGATGGAAATTCAATCTCATGTTTGTTAGTAGAGGAATCCAAAGAGGAACAATGTAACCTTGTAGCATTTACGTTTGTGCTTTCAGACACTTGAATTTCTGTTGCTAAGGCACAAGTTACTATGATTGGTGACACCAATTTCTTATATTTAGCAAAGTCCCTTTCTGCCTCTGAAACTCCCTGGTTTGATGATTTTAAAACATGGGTTAGGTGTGCTACGGAATGGTCATTTGAATCCAAATCTCTCATCTGACTGGCTAATTGGTCCATGCTTTCACTACATGGAATAAGCATATCCGATAATGTTGCATTAGAGGCACTGTGGGAAAAGTAGCCACTTGTAATACTGCTTGTGGTGGGGCTACGAGATACTTCTTTCTCAGTAACACAAGAGTTTATGCAATCTCCTTTAGTGGATAACCATTCCTTATTTTCCAGACTAGCATTGTAAACACTGAAGTCAGCAAATTCCACGGGCACATAAGGTTTCTTGTTATTAGTCTCCAAATCATCATCATCTTCAGAGTCCTGCTAAGTGGTAGAAAATGTAGTCAATATTCCTACAGTTTAAACAAAGGCAAGATAACTCATCAATGAACAAGAGATAGGATTAATACCTAGTAATGAAAGTACTGAGACTATTGTTTAGTCAGCATTTAGTGTAATGTTTCAACAAAGATTCTAGTAGTCTTATCATTTCAAAACTAGTCATCTATTATATTAAACAACATTAATATTAACCATTTACTTCATTCAATGTAACAATTATCTCAAATTATAAAGGCAAATATTATGTATTTAATGAAAAAGTTACTTTTGTTAATTTTGCTATAATTAAATGCATTTAAAGCCTTAGATTATGGCAGTTTCCAAACATGTACAATCAAGAGAAAAACACACAATTTTCTTACATTTTAATACAATTATAAATAACTATTATATGAAACAGAACAAAATGTAGCTCACTGTTAAATATTCAGGTTGTGAACTTTTAAAAAAGTTTAATATAGGTTTGTAGCCCTTTTTCTAAATAGCAATAGTGGGTACCTCTCCTTAAATTGTCTTTTAATAAAGAGTAACTTCTTTACCATTTGTTAATCTTGTTACAACCAACTAGGAAAGTAATGCTCTTTTTCCAAATACTATGAACCTATTAGCCTGAATTTAATTTCATTTTTACTTTAGCAGAACTTATCAGTCTTAATTTTTAAGAGCACCTGCTATCCATATTATTCTCAACATTTGGTTTCTGTAGTAATGAAGGCTGCTACTTGCCAGATTTCTCTAAGAAGCTTTAGAGCTGGGATCCAAAGTGCTATATAAAGCTTATTCAGAAAATTGTGTGCACCCATCAGAATGTTTGATATTCTTTCAGTCCCCATCAAGCATTCTGTTTTAACAGTTTGCCAGGATGGATCAGATGGAATACAGTATGGTTTGAGAAAAATGAACATGAAGGTATTTGGTGTAAAACTAAATAAGTTCAGATAACTCTAGCATCTAAGAGTTTGAATAATAATACCAAGTTCTAATTCAACTTTCATTATTTCATTCTGATAAAACTATTACCATAATATAGATGTTAATACCAGTTATTTTCTCTAAAAATGCAAGTAATCTATAACTCTGTAGATCTGTATCTATAAATTATTTGTTAAGCTACCAATACAATCAGAATGAATGGAATGAAGTGAAAACAAGCATATTTTAAAACCAATTGACTATTAAATATAACCATTTGGCACACGTGTATCAGGATGCCAACTGTAGTGAAGGAATCTGGAAAATCACTCTGGGAAAAATTCTAATACAAATGCCCACACCTTTTTACAGTTTACCCACCACTTTACCACTTTAGGCACAAACATATTTGTACATCTATCACCAGAAGATCACAGTTTTTAAAATGTGAACTATGAAAGGAATGTCAGGTATCAGGTGTTCATAAAACTATAGTATTTTAATGGGTATTCAGGTACTAGAAAAACTTCAATTTTTCCCATGGAATTTTGTTCTGCAGATGGCATAGTTTCAAAAGCAATGCACAATCCAAAATATATTTTATAGTGCTTAAGTAAAGAAAAAGTCTCCTTTAGAACATACTCAATTCTTGGTGAATACAGAGATAAGTCCTAGCAGTTTGCTTGAGAACAATATGAATACAGTCTGCCACTGCCTTCTTCCAGGGTGGTTTCTCAACTTCCGAATCTAGCCTACAGCCTGGGGTCTCCTAGTCCGGTCCTGTCTAAGCACTAACCAGAACCAGTTCTGCTTAGCTTGGGAAGGTGCTACCATCTAAGCTGGCCTATAGTTGAAACATTATTTACTATGGCGCTAGGCAAAATATCAGCTGCTAAAAAAGCTAAATCCCAGTTGAATAGTAGCTTAACTGAGCACTTACCAAACACAGGCAATCAAGACAAAAGGGATGTTCACAGTTCTCTCACAATAATGTGTAATTTTTATATGGTTTTATAACCATCATTATTGCAAGTAGATAAAAACTTACATAAAAAGATTTTATAATCACAAAAGACATATTATACCTTAGGCCGCAAAAGTAAATTACACCCAGTAATCTATGGTTTAGATCCAGAATTTCCACTGCACAGTGATTCTTTGTTTCTACTACATCATATTATATTTTTTGATAAATCAGCAGCAGCCATCTGTTTCCCAGTAGAATTCAGGCAGTTAATGATAATCTCTGAAGCTCTAAACAAATTTGCCAATCTCAGTATGAAATAAGAGACTTTCCTTCAGTAGTTTCAGGTATCTTTACAGCTGGACGGGCATGGAGGAAACAGCCTTCTCCTACCTCAGTCCCAAGCTAGGAGTTGCACTTATGTGCTGCTGTTTCAGCTTTAGGAACAGAGTCCAGACTTTCTCTTCCAGCCTGGCCTTTTGAGCTGGATTAATAATAATGTTAGGTTCTGCTTTACTGGGTTTTAACTATTTTATATTTTGTTTACTTCTTGACTATTAGCTATCCTGAATGTCCTATAAGTAAAAGGTTGAGGGAGAAATTGAAACAGTAATGGCCATGCTGTCCTTGGATGGTCACCTAACCCACAGGAACAATTTTCAGAGGGACTGAATAAAAGTGAGGTGAGAGATCACTTTTGAAAAAATATTCAGCCCACATATTAAGTTATATTTAAAAGTTTAAAAATATGTCCATTTTACAATTCACAGAATTTGTTTCCATGGGTTTTGTTTTGAATTTCTGCACAATGCATGCAAATGATGCAATTAATTGTAAGTTGCTGTTTTTAATTAAAATCATACTTTTAATTAATGGCCAAATAACATTAGCTAAATGAACAGAATTGGCCATATATCCAACAATGGTCAGTTAATTTGTTCAGTAGATCAGAATACAGTAAAACTTTGTTAGTTCTTAAACCATTTTATGCATTTTTAATATCATTCAGTTACTACTTGGGGTTCTCTAATTAAAAAAAAAAAGAATTCTGTTAATTTCCAGATCTCAGCCCTAAATCATAACTGGGAGGGGTTTCTTGTTGCATTTTTTTTTTTAAATGTTATGATTGTCTTGAAGGCTTAAGCATCATAGATCCTGTGCTGTTTTAGATCCAGACAGCAGCTTCAGATAATTAAGACAGCATTCTCTGGCCAATGATCTCACTGTAAAGTGATCATTTTTGGACGACACTGCTCACTGTACTATGATTAATATAACAGACATTTTGCTATTTTCCCTGATATGTTTAAAGTTACACATTTTAACTATCCATTTTAACTATCTGAGCATATCAAAACAATACGATATAACCTGAATATAATACTAGACTCCATTTTGGGAGTATATATCAGTACTAATAGTGGTTAGAAAATCAGCCAGAACTTCAGTCATACTGTTATTAAAATTTATTTTTATGACTTAGATGCAGTAATCTATAAAATGGGCTCACCATTCAACAGACTTTTTAAAACTAGTCCAAAATGGTCTAATCATTTCAGAATCTTCTTGTTTATCACTAGCTCAGTTATCAACAACACAATATATCCAATCAGTGTCCTGGAACAAGGGGAAAATTCCTGGCAACCCTCTTCTACTCTGAAGAATCCTTCCAGAGAAGAAATAAAAGCCAGGGGAAAATTAGATTTTTGCAGCAGTATATCAACAAGACAATAAAAACCCACATTTTCTATATATGAAAAAATAATTTTACTTTATAAAAGTACTGCATCTTAACCAAGATGCTATTTGATGTATGTTTTTAAATGAAAACAGAGCTAGGTAATTTTAAATATAATCCCTTTATGAAGTGCATAATCCTCTAAGTATATTATCTGAACTTTCTCTGAAGTATCTTGTGCAATAAAGCAGATTGCAATGTATTAACTGGTGGTTTCGATAGGCTATAATACTTAGCTGTCTGTAAACCTAGTATGACTTATTAGGACAGTGGCCACTCCAGATGGATTTATGTTACACTAGGTATTTACACAATATATCCAGATACTAACACCTATTCATTATATACCTTTGGATATACGTCACAAGAATACTAGTCATAATAGTTTGCTGGTGGGCACATCAGATTTTTATATCAGTTTAAGAACAAAGGGCTTATCAATATTCATCCCACTGATCCGGAATGTTCACATGGAATATTCAGCATATTGATTTATTTGTGAAATTTAGAGGCCATCCCACTCCAAAAGGATTCTGGGTGGCTTACACTAAAAATAGAAGACATTGAAAGGAAATCCTGTGCATCCCAATCCCAAATGGCAAAAACATGGTTATACAACAAAATGGATAATGTTCCTTTGCTATAAAAGTGTATTTTTAACGTTATTACTGCATCAATTATTGGGCATTTTATATTGTTCGGCTTTTACTTTCATGATGACATAAAAATATACCCTGATTTACCATGCAGAAGAAGATAAAGACACTGTAAGCATCGCTAGATCACATCAGCTACAGTGGGGCAAAAAAGTATTTAGTCAGCCCCCAATTGTGCAAGTTCTCCCACTTAAAATGATGAGAGAGGCCTGTAATTTTCATCATAGGTATACCACAACGATGAGAGACAAAATGGGGGAAAAAATCCAGAAAATCACATTGTCTGATTTTTAAAGAATTTATTTGCAAATCATGGTGGAAAATAAGTATTTGGTCACCTACAAACAAGCAAGATGTCTGGCTCTCATAGACCTGT